GCCAAACCAAACCAACCCCAAAGCAAACAAACAAACCAAACTGGTAGTCCCATTGCTCCTAATTTGAAACTGCAAATTTGAGCAAGGGGATCCAAGCACCTGTCTATATTTTAACTATATTACATACATTTCACCAAAAAGTTTTTGCTCTTGTAATATGAATGAACAGCCATTTCCTTCTGCTGAATTCTATTTCCTTTATACTAATGAAGTATTAGCATGCAAAATCTTCCTCCCAGTCTCTAGGTCAAATTTGAACAAATATCCTCTTCTGATTCTTAAGACTTAATCTCTGCTTCATTAACTACATTGTGTACACCCATTGTGTTTAGTTTATCATGTCATTTTTGAAATTTTACAAACACTAGGTAATTTTATATTTGCGCTCAGGGTGAACTTTGCTTTGTGTTAATTTTACAAAACTGGGCAATCTGGCAAAACTAAAGAAAGCACATTAATAAGTCATCAATAAAATTCTTCCAGAAAATTCAAAGTCACAATAACAATGTTGAGAAGTAGAATGGTGGTTTTGACAGCTGGGAAAACCAAAAGTCTAGAGAAACAAATATTAGCTTGACAAGTTGAAATGAGTTTTGGAGATGGAGGGCAGGAATGGCTGCACAGCAAAATTAATGCATTTAATGCAACTGAACTGTAATGTTCACTGCAGAATAATTAAGATGGTAAATTTTTGGTATATGTATTTTTTATTTTTTGGTTTTTCAAGACAGGGTCTCCCCGTGTAGCTCTGGTTGTTCTGGGATTTTCTCTCTAGACTAGACTGTCCTTGAACTCACAGAGATCCACCTACCTCTGCTTTCTGAGTGCTGGGATTAAAGACTGTCCTTGAACTCATAGAGATCCACCTACCTCTGCTTTCTGAGTGCTGGGATTAAAGGTGTGCACCACCACTGCCTGACTGGTGTAAGCATTTTGCCAGAATTTACGTGTTAGAATAATATAAGAAAACATATTGCATTTACTGTATTTAGTACTGGGAAAAATGAACATATTCACAACCTGGCTTTTGAGACAAGCGTACTCAGATGACAACAGTCTGTAGGTTATCTGGTGTGGGAAGTCCTTCCGTATAAGTGTTGCTTTTATTGGTTAACAAATAAAGAAGCTATTTTGGCCTGTGATAGGGCAGAATAGAGCTAGGTGGGAAAACTAAACTGAATGCTGGGAGAAAGAAGGCAGAGTCAGTGAGAAGCCATGCAGCTGCCCACAGGAGACAGACACCTCCACCAGAGCCCACTGGAACCTTGCCAGTAAGCCACAACCACATGGTGATACACAGATTAATAGAAATGGGTTAATTTAAGATTGAGTTAGCCAGAAATATGCTTAAGCTATTGGTCAAACAGTATTACAATTAATTCAGATTTCTGTGTGATTATTTTGGGAGTCTGGGAAGCTGGGACATGATCAAGTAGCCTCCCCCAACAGTTATCTGTGTGTGTGGTGGAAAGTGCAAGTAGAACATAGCTGTAGAGGTGAGGGTGAGGCTACCACCGCCCACTGTGAGCAGAGATGGAGTAGGAAGAGGGTAGAGGTGTATTGTAAAGCTGCGGAGAAGAGTTAGCATTTGGGCATGGCTTGGAAGGAACTTAAAATTTCAGACTATCACAAGAGAAGATATTCTAGGCAGAAGAGCAGATGTAGCAGATGCATCAGACTTCGGAAAACTGATGAAAGAACTGTCTAGCAGAAGCACAGAATACAAGGAGAAGAGTGTTAGGAGATGATGCCAATGGGGCGGCTTTGGATTTCATTGCAAACCAATGGTCTTGGTGAGAAATGGACTTCAGAATCACTCGTGGAAATTAGAAGACAGTTATGTTCACATTTCTCCTGGGAGATTTAGTTTAGTGGGTCCAGCATGGAGCATAGATTAATAGCCATAAAAGCTTCATAGTGATTTACTTGTGTTTCCATAACCATTATCACAGGGCATGAGAAATTACTGAAAGCATTTTAAAATAAGATAGATAGAGACGAGATAGAAAGTCCCTAAATGACAGTTTGAATTAAATCAATGAGAATAGAGAGAATGGAGAGAAATGTATTTGAGAGGTGTCAGAAAGTCAAAATTATTGGGCCTTGTGCTATGATAATCAAATGAACAAGATGCTAAACCTGAATCATATAACTGGGCTATGGCAGATCCAGAGAGAGAGCAAATATTGGAATAGACATGTCTGGCCTACAGCTGTCAGGATAGACACTCAGTAACTTCTGGTTAAATTAACACCAATAAATAAATAAATAAATAAGTTCCCAAAAGATGACTAGTTATGTAACTGTGGGTGTAAGAAAAATGAGTAAAATAGTAGTGGTTTTCTAATGGACTTCCTTGATTCTTCAGTTTTGGAGAAATCTAGCTGCCTGGAGTCAGATGGAACAGGGAGCTATAGGAAAATGTATGTAAATTCAAAAGAGACACAAAAGAAAAATGCGGAAAATTTGGGACATCTGGGCGAGGATCCAGAAAGAGTGGTTTCAGCTTTTCCCTAGAAACCATGTTAGAGTTACAGCAGCATCTGAGGTGCTGTGTCTGAAAAAGCCAGACTGGGAAAGTTCCAACTCAGGCGACAATGGTGACCCTATGGCTTTTGGACAGGGATCTTCCATAAACTTAAAAACCATGCTCTTTGTAAGAACCTACAAGCAGCCAAGGGGTAGTAGGATGAATTGAGAAGAAATAAATGTAAATCAAGAACATCTAAAGCTCCCATTAAGGATAGGGATAAAATATAACAATAAGAAACTAAATGAGGATAATCAAAGAAGGAAGGGAAAGGCAGTAGACATGTCAAATGATTCCCATGTTAAATACATGAATACACATGAGCTGGCCCAGATCCAGATAATGAAAATCAGATCTAAATTCATGGTCAACCCTGAATGATGCATTCTATTGCAACAAGCAGGAATTTGGTCAGGAAGGTGAACAGTTTCTGGTGAAGCTAAATGACCTCAAGGAACTAGAAGAGGATCTAGGAGGAATAAATATTTTGAGTACTTGGAAATGCAATAGCAGTTTACATACCAAGGCCAGACACTTAAGTTTGGGAACTATCTGATTTAAGTGATAAATGAATCTAGCGAAGTGAATAAAATGACCAAGAACAGGACGCAAGATAATGTCACTGTACCTGGCAGGAGGGATCAGAAAGAGAAGAGTAATTTGGAAAATATGTCTTTCAGAAGGATGGGGAGGGAGCACTAGTGTTGTCCAGAGAAATTTGAGGTAGAAGCAGCGAAGGCAATATGAATTTCCTGAAACATGAGAAAAATCTAAACATTAGTATGATGATGCTTGACTGACTGCTCACAGAGGGATGCTCAGAGAGGTAGACACTGATCATTCCTGTATCCTGTTGGTAGTAGAGCCATCAGTGTTGACTGTGTGGCTCCTGGTGTTACTGGCATTTCTATTTAATGATCCCAGTATATCACTATATGGTCTCTTGGTGGTGAAATAATTTATGTTGAAACAGGTGGACAAGAGGAGCTATGTACAAACAGTACCATAATGCTGATGCATGAAAACTTCAGTGTGAACACTTTCTGTATCCATACACAGGTCTCAGTATTTCTAGCAGAGCAGTCAATAACTTTTTGTAGGATAACGTTTGAACTGAAGCTGTGAATACAAGTTAGCCAGATATCACACAACTGTTCACTGTGTGGTCCTTGATGCTGATTTTTTTGTTTGTTTATTTGTTTGTTTGTTTTTTAAATCAAAACTCAACTCTGAATACAGATGTGTCTGTCTCTGGACTTTAGTGCCCATTCCATTTTTTTTCAGATTTCCTGGTATTTAACCTTAAAGTTATGGGTTAATTTGAGAACTTTCATTTTCACAATAGCCAATGCACTACAGAGAGTTTCTATAAGCCTTCTATGCTTCTTAGTGTAGGATAATTGTTTTTCATTTAAGTTCTAAAGTTGACTTTTGATAATTTATAACCCCCCTCTCTCTTTGATTTTTTTGAGACATGATTTCTCTGTAGCTTTGAAGACTGACCTGTAACTAGCTCCTATAGACCAGGCTGGCCTCGAACTCACAGAGATCCGCTTGTCTCTGCCTTCCAAGTGCTGGGATTAAAGATGTGTGCCACCACTGCCCAGCCTTTACCTGATGCGTCTTACAGAAGATGAACTGTGACTGTTTAGCATTTATATGTGGTATCTGCTCAGCCATCCCTGGAAACTAGGAACCCCATTATGGATCTTTCCACAAAATTCCCATTCTTTTAAGCCCTGCGCTGGAATTCATGACACGCTCTGAATTCTATCTATTCTGGGAAGCCAGGAAAAGAACTCATAACAGAAAGCCCCCTACTGCACATCACACTCATTCTGGATACAAGTATTTTCACAGGGACTTATGAAGCTATAAGTCACAAAGGGTCTGGGTCTGACCTTGTGTCCTAAGTCCTTTCAAATGCTCTGGTTTGAATAATATATTTAACGAAAGTACTAGAAAAAAAGGATAAAAGAAGATCTATTCCAAATGTCCAGAGAGAAATCTTTTGGGCTTTGCAAGCCACATGGATCCTGCTACTCACCTTGGCTTTTGTGGTGTGAAGGCATCACAGAGAATAAACAAATGATCTTGCCTGTGTTCCAATAAAGTTTTACTTAAAGAACAAGTTGTGAGCCAAGGTCCAACAACCTTAGTTTCTAGATCCCTACATTAAGTCAATAAACTTCCAAATTTTATTTACATTTTAGCAATGCACTCAATTCTATACAAGGAAAATTCATTGGATACAAAACACCGAAGTGAATAAAATAGAAAAGTCACCAAAACAACTTCTCAAATCACCCGACAGTGGTTGTGAGCATGACCAACTTTTCTTTGCCTCAGGGCACAAGTAGGATTGTAGTTCATGATAAACACACATAAGACATTGTCCCATAGCCACTGCTGTGGGAGGAATAAATTTTCAAATAGAAGACGATCATCATTTATAATGGCAGTAACTTACCAGTCTTGTACGGCATTGAAGGATTCTTCGTTTGTGATGTCATACATTAAAATGAAGCCCATGGCCCCTCGATAATAGGCTGTGGTGATGGTCCTGTATCTTTCCTGGCCTGCTGTGTCCTAATGAACAAAACAGTGACATCCTGTCATAAATGAGGCAAAATAATTTGGGGAAGTGCTTAATAATTTCCAGAGCAGTTACATCATCATCCAAAATAGTGCGTGGATAATGTACAGATGTTTCTTTCTTAGTTTCGCTTTTCCTATTGATGCTCACAAGTCAGCTCTGCAGTGCTCTGTGCAATTTCTCCCTCCTTCTTTTCCTCCCTCCTCCTTCCTTCCTTCCTTCCTTCCTTCCTTCCTTCCTTCCTTCCTTCCTTCCTTCCTTCCTTCCTTCTTTCCTTTTTTCTTCTCTTTTGTATGAATGAAGATTAAAGTTTACTCCATACCAGCCAGCATAAAGCTATACAAAAGAAAAGATTAGACCAATCTGAAATTGGTGACTCTTGACATACTTTTAAGTTAGAGGGATACCTCAGCTCCAACGCGATGCCTTTATAAATTGGCTGTCCGTGAATACCAGCTGGTGTGAGGACAAAAGGAACATGTTCCTACTTTGAAGTTCAGTGTCAGCTTGATTGGCTATGAGATGACAATAAAACACCTTCTTTAATGTCTGAGCTGGAGGAGCAAATGTGAGCTTGAATTCCTGCTCCTCTGTCCTAGGGTTGGGGGTCACGGACAAGTATCTAATCCTTTGTATATTAAACCTTTCTAAAGCTAAGCAAGTACTTTGGGGTTCCAGATCTGTTCATACAGCAGAGGATGCAAACAGGAGCAAGGGCAAGGTTTTATTCCTGAGACATCAGCGCCAATTTAAGGTTGTAGATGGGAGTACTATCTGCACAAGGCATGGCATGCGGCAGTGAAATCGGGACTCTGAGACATGAAAATCATCTAAAGGAGCTACCTATTCTCAACACTGCAGGAAGAGCTGGTTCCTCGGCTCACCCTATGGCTCCTTCTCTGTTCTCTTAGGATTGAAATCATCGTTTCTAATTGGCTTTCCCATTTCCCCCAATCTTTGGAGATGATGCTTAGCTGTTTCTCCTTTTATAAATTCTCTAGGAACCTGGCATTTTGAACATAAGCTAACCTTCTTTCTAACTTAGCATGGACTCTCTTCCTCACTTATCCCTAAGATGCCTCTTTTATAAATAAAGTGCACCCTGTATCCTTGTAGAACCGAGAAGGCCTTGAGGGAGAGTTAACTTGTTGGGTGAGGGAAAAGCAGGTTCCCATACCATCAAAATGGCATTGAGATCTCATGGAGTCCATGTTGGATTTTGGATTCCCCCCATAGACATCTTCCCAGTTAGATCCTAACATCCAGCTACACTGCAGAGAGAAACATAAGATTGTTCACAGTTCTTCAGTACTTTGTATGGCATGTTCTTCTGCCATTAGAGAGTCAGAGGGAAGTGACCAGAGGAGGCTGGGTTCAGTGTTTGTGTCTAAGTGGCACTAGAAGCAACTTAGCCTAGAGTGTGACTTCACAAGGCCAAGAAGAAGACATGCTTCTCTGGAGAAGGCTAAGACTGGTCGGATTAAGATCTTATTAGAGAAAATAAAGGTTCAAGTTTGGATGAAACAGATTAGAGCATTCAAATGCACAGCAATTAAGGAAGCTTTTAGAAGGCACTTCCAGTGGCAGAAAACAACAGAAAAGGAAGTCATAATAGAAAGTATGTTTGCATTAGGCCAGAGAAAACAATGATTCATATCTTTAATAGGGAAAGTGGTATTAAAATCATTAGGAAAACTATATATTCCAATTACAAGTGGCTAATTAGTAAGAAGTCATATTCTAACCATAACAACAGAAATAGAAACGTCCAAGTTATATTCTCAAATAATAAGAGTTTATTGGCAAGTATTTGAGTATTTTATTGTGCTTTGCTTAATGTTTTATAAGTATTAGGAAAATGTAGGTACCTGGGCTATCAGCTGCATATAATTGGAACAAGTAGAGAAACTGACTGGGCAGAAAGAAGCTAATGCTGAGTGCTTTTCTGTGTTCTCAGAAACTCATGAGCTTAATTTAGTTAACAATATAGGTAACCATGAAACCAAGATGAGAACACACACAGAATGACAGAGCCAAATTCCAGATGAGCATGTTTAAAGAGCAAGAAGTAGTCAAAGACATAGTAGGATGTTATGTCTCTCTGGGGAGCAGAACTCCTTGTTACTAGTCAGAGGAGATCGTTTAAAACCTTCCGCTGCTATCGGATTGTTTGGGACATATTATGTATGAATGCAGCTTACTCCCCACCCCCACCCCCACTGTCAAGTCCCTTCAACCAGCTTTCTTTTCGTTCTTGGCATAGACTGAATACCACAGGTGCAGGCAGGCGGTGCCATGCCAGCTCTCTTCCCAGCACAACACAGGTCGTCTCTCGTTTTGTCATTGAGGAAAACTGAAAACATACAGGAGTCACCGAGAAAGGTGACCCAGACCCCTGTCAAGCGTGTTTTCAACACAGCCTGCTGATAAATGTCTTGGAAAACTGTGGCTTCATCTCTCTGACCTTTTCTGGTGATGGTGCCCCCTTCTCACAGGATGGTACTTTTATTGTGATGGTAAAGACACCGTGTTGTCATAAAATGCTTCAGCTTCATAACGAGGCATTTTTTTTTAAATCATCGAGAGAACAAAAATCCGGATTCCATTATACTATACTTGAAATGTTACAGGAAGATGCTAGAAACCACAGGGTTGAAGTAATCACTACATATCAAAACTTGGGGGAGAGAAAGAGAAATAACTTTAAAGAAAAAAAAGAAGCAGAAAGAAGAAGCCTTCAGATAGTAGTTAAGACACACAGCAAAGGGTTAGATTTCCAGCATCATTCTGAGTGAGCACAGAAGCACAATCCAATTGAAAGTATTTGTCACTGAAACATACAGGCGGAACAAGAAATTGTACCAAAGAGGGCAAGTGTAGGAAGAACCACAAATAGGAAAATTCTCATCCTCCCCAATTTGAGGACAATTTCAACATTAAACCTAGTCTAACACTCTCACGCCAAGCTGCCTCCCTGCTGGCTTTGGTATTGAAAACAATTTCAGAATTACAAACTTAATGCCATTTTCTTACCACTCTACAGGGAAGAGGAAGGCAGGAAAACACTTCGTTCGTTACATTTGACATTTACTAATGATGACAAAAGGTTATATTCAAAATAATGGAATATTTTATAATGTCAAGTGCCACTGCCGCAATTAAACATGAATAGCCCGGAAGATAGTGGGCAAAATGGCGTCTGTCCTCACTGGGCTCAGACATCTTAGTGTTGTTCTTCCTCCTGGTTTACTAACAGCTGGGACTATCTGTTGGTTTTCTGTAAATGTCATCGTCTCATGATTAAAAAAAAAATGTGATTGGAAATCCCCCCTCCAACCCAGAGAAAACAGTGACTGGGAAAGTGACTACGAGATGAGGAATGTTTCCAGCCAGCGTCTTTTCCTCTCTTTATAGGAAAAGAATATCTTTAGTTAGTTCAAATATTTTGCTATACAAATATTGTTTTCAGGAGTCATTTTTTTTGATGTAATGGTGGGTTTGGTAGCAAGTGCTTGACTATCTGTCAAGAAAAGACCCGCAAAATGGAAAATAATAGCGGCTTGATAAAAAGTAGCTAAGAGTTCTTTCAATGTGAGCTGGACCATTTCTATCTTTGGTTTTTTGCCTTCAGTGATTTCCCCAGCGGAACTCTCTCTTAATTGCATGCACAGCACTTCCAGAGCTTTCTGAAGTCAAGCAGAGATAATGCACCGTTTTAAGTCTATAGAAAAAGCTTTCATTTGCAAAGTATGGGTTACCGCTGCGATTTATTTCTTATTTCTATGCTTATTTCCATACCAAATTAAAGGGAAAATGGAATGACCTATTAGCAAAGAAATGTAACGCAAGATAGCCACAATCAAAATACATTTATTAAAAATCTACACACACACACACTTAGACTGAAGAACAGAAAATAATGGCAAGAGATAAAGCAAACATTTTTAATAGATGAAGAAACCAAATCAAACTTCATTAGTATTAACTGAATGTCAAAATAATTTAATTAAAGTAAATGAAGTCATATATAATAATGCAATGGGAAATTAAGAGATTGGGCTAAGGTAGGAACACTGTAACCTAAGACATAAAACCTACTTTCACCAATGAGTAGCCAAATGAGCACAAAGAACGTAGACTAAGAATCCAGTCATTCAGGTAAGGGGTGATCTTTTAACTAATATGTAACTACACTTTTATCTCAAAGAATTGTTTGGAATAATCAAGAAAGATTAAATTATGTTAGTATAGCTTAATATTACTATTGATTCATACATCTACCCAATAAATCCCTAATAAGCATTTATTAATAGTCAAAGAAGGTAAAGATACATTACATATATCCACTCTAGGTAGACTTTGAATCCTGCAAGATTTTTCTCACTAAAGAACTTTATTAAGCAGAACACCAGTGTTCCAAAAATAAAAAAAGATCAAAATTGTGAAAAATATTTGCAAAGTACCAGGCATCATAGTGATTTATAATTGTGACAGAGACAGTTTATTGAGAGATGGAGTCCTTTAGTTCAGTGATTGTTATAGATTCGTTATCTTGGAGTTTTCATTCCAGGCCCTTGTATGCGACTTTATTTAAAAAAAAAAAAGTCCTTGCAATGCAATCTAACATAAGTGATGTCATACAAGATCAGGTGGTTTCTACTCCCATGACTACAGTCTTCATGAAATTGGAAGACACAGGGGCTGGTGAGATGGCTCTTTGTCTAAAGAATATATACTGCTCTTGTAGAGGACCCAAGTTCAATTCCTCACAGTTATCACAGTCATGACAGAAAGCTTCAAGTGCCTAGAACTCCAGCTCCAGGGGGATATGATACCTCTGGCATCTGAAGACACCTGCATCTACAGGCACATACCCGCTCCCCTGACACACACACACACACACACACACACACACACACACACACACACACACACACACGCAATTAAAAATGAAAAAAGGTATTAAAATAAAAATAGAGCCAAAGCACAGTAC